CAGGAGTATAGTAGATCAATAAGTTTCATCATGTACTATGATATCAGGAGTATAGTAGATCAATAAGCTTCATCATGTACTATGATATCAGGAGTATAGTAGATCAATAAGTTTCATCATGTACTATGATATCAGGAGTATAATAGATCAATAAGTTTCATCATGTACTATGATATCAGGAGTATAGTAGATGAATAAGTTTCATCATGTACTATGATATCAGGAGTATAGTAGATGAATAAGTTTCATCAGGTACTATGATATCAGGAGTATAGCAGATCAAGAAGTTTCATCAGGTACTATGATATCAGGAGTATAGTAGATCAATAAATTTCATCATGTACTATGATATCAGGAGTATCAATTGATCTACTATACTCCTGATATCATAGTACCTAATGAAACTTATTGGTCTATGATGAAACTTATTGATCTACTATACTCCTGATATCATAGTACATGATGAAGCTTAGTATAATTTTACTAAATGTGTACCTTGAATGATTTGTTAACAGTTTCACTGGAAACCTCTACTGCTAAACCAACCCTCACCACACGGTATAATTTTACTAAATGTGTTCTTTGAATGATTTGTTAACAGTTTCACTGGAAACCTCTACTGCTAAACCAACCCTCACCACACGGTATAATGTTACTAAATGTATTCCTTGAATGATTTGTTAACAGTTTCACTGGAAACCTCTACTGCTGAACCAACTTATTGATCTACTATACTCCTGTTATCATAGTACATGATGAAACTTATTGATCTACTATACTCCTGATATCATAGTACCTGTGTAGTAAGAAATGGTTCAGTTATAAACATGTGGGACATGAGAAGCTCATCTTTCACTGTCCATGGTCCTAGTTGAACAAAATATATAAATATTATAATCTATTCACCCCACTTAAGAAACAAGAAGTTTAAATTAGACATACAGCTTATTTTACATATTTACCATAACACATTTGGTATTTTCAAAATGTGTTCTAAATCATCAGTAATTTGTATGCCATGACAATAGTAAAGTGTGAATGAGTCACAGTAAAGTGTGAAACAGTCATAATAAAGTGTGAAATGGTATTAGTAAAATGTGAAACAATCATAGTAAAACTAAGCTTAAAAGTTCAGTTGTTATAAGCAACATGGATTAAGCTAAACTTAGAATATCAATTGTGATAACCAATAGTAATGGATTAAACTAAACTTGCAACCTTTGTTGTGATAATAAATAAACTTAGTATTCTGAAAATTGTTTAATTTCAAAGTCTAAGTTCAAGGAAGGTCCAGTTCAATCTACAATTTGATCAGCGTATGTTATTGGTTTATGATAGTTTTGGAGAATTCCACTTCTCATCTCTTAATAACTTCTCTTAGTATATATTAGTAATAAAATAAATATTAGTTCTACAAATATGAATCTCAAAGAAAAGATAGATAAAAAACAAGTTTACCTAAATAGAGAAGTCACTTTAACATATGCTATACATAAAACATGGAATTGAAAGATTAGAAGTTACTTTAACATTTGTTACACATAAAACATGGAATTGAAAGATTAAAAGTCACTTTAACATTTGCGATACATAAAACATATGGAATTGAAAGATTAGAAGTCACTTTAACATTTGCTATACATAAAACATGGAATTGAAAGATTAGAAGTCATCTTAACATTTACTATACATAAAACATGGAATTGAACTTCTCATCTCTTAATAACTTCTCTTAGTATATATTAGTAATAAAATAAATATTAGTTCTACAAATACGAATCTCAAAGAAAAGATAGATAAAAAACAAGTTTACCTAAATAGAGAAGTCACTTTAACATATGCTATACATAAAACATGGAACTGAAAGATTAGAAGTTACTTTAACATTTGTTATACATAAAACATGGAATTGAAAGATTAGAAGTCACTTTAACATTTGCTATACATAAAACATGGAATTGAAAGAAGTCATCTTAACATTTACTATACATAAAACATGGAATTGAAAGATTAGAAGTCATCTTAACATTTACTATACATAAAACATGGAATTGAAAGATTAGAAGTCACTTTAACATTTGCTATACATAAAACATATTGAATTGAAAGATTAGAAGTCACTTTAACATTTGCTATACATAAAACATGGAATTGAAAGATTAGAAGTCACTTTAACATTTGCTATACATAAAACATATAGAATTGAAAGATTAGAAGTTACTTTAACATTTGTTATACATAAAACATGGAATTGAAAGATTAGAAGTCACTTTAACATTTGCTATACATAAAACATGGAATTGAAAGAAGTCACTTTAACATTTGCTATACATAAAACATGGAATTGAAAGATTAGATGTTACTTTAACATTTGCTATACATAAAACATGGAATTGAAAGATTAGATGTTACTTTAACATTTGCTATACATAAAACATGGAATTGAAAGATT